GGCTGGTGCTATGGAAAAATAATCTGCAGATGGATTTAGGTCTAAAGGTGTCTTGCAGAGGCAACCTTCCCATGACTTTCTTTCCCTGCCTGTGCCAGGAGCTCCTGGGAGGGCTTGGCCAAGCACCGCTCACACTCTTCAAGTGGCTTTGCCCAGGCCAAGTAGAGATCATGTGTAAGAGGAGAGAAACCACATTTCCTATGCTCACATCTGCAGGCTGCCTGAGCTTGTGGGCTGTGTCACACAGAGACATAGTCAGAAGAAGAGCTTAATCTCCAATGTAACTCCAGAGAGAAAAGTAAAAACACAGAGTTCACCAGAGTTGTCACATCTTAAAAAAAGAAAAAAAAAAAAAAAGAAAAAAAATCCCCGCAACCTGTCTTTCTTCCTCAGACACACTAGTAAATGAATAACCATAGAAATGTCTCATTTTTGTGGGAGATCTATTGCTCTTTAAGAAAAGACCAGAAGTGGACAGGTTGATATGCTTTTTATGTTATAATTAGAAGATAGGTGACTAGCTAAATGATAAAGAAATGGGTCATGTATTTACAGTCCACGTAAGGGAGGTAGAACACAAAGCTGTCCCTAAAACCTGTCTCCATCTCTGCAAGGCTTGTTTTCTTGGCAGAGGAAACTGGAGCTGTTGCATGTGGAAACTGCCCAAGTCCACACCACCTGGATGGATGGATGGATGGATGGATGGATGGATGGATGGATGGATGGATGGATGGATGGTCCTGGAGATGGAATTTAGATGAAATCTTCACACTGTACCACTTTAACAGCTGAGATGTGCACTCAACATAGTGTTAGGAACAGATGAATGAGAATGTTATGTTTTTTTGTGAGCAGGAGGCTGTAAAGATCTCTGCTCCAATGGATGAAAACAGTAAAATTGGATTTAGGAAGGAGGTATTTTCCTACAGTAGCTCCTAGGGACAAAATATAGTTCTTACATTTGAGCAATAAGTCTGTGTCCACTGGCTAATTCATGAATCGACTTGTTATCACTTTCAGTCTTTCCCTAACTTTAGAGGAAAGAAAAGGATCTAACATGGAGGAACCGTGACTGTAAAATTCAGTTTGATACACAATATGTCATATAGGCCACATTATGTATCTCAGTTTAGAAGTACTAAAGAAGTCATAAAGATGTCATGACTTCTTATTCCTATTCTTATTCTTTATCTGCCTTGGATTTGGATTCTGAGTTGAAATAATAGAGAAGTGTGTTACAAAAATAAGGAAAGACTAATGGCGTGACAGCATAGCCTGGTGTCAGACTTGGAGGCTACCTTCCAGGTGCAGTACATATCACTTATGACAAATTGTATTATTTTAAATAGTTATATCAGATACTGATTAACTTGATTTAATAGTAAAGAATACATCTCAAGAATCTTGTGAGAAGACCGTGTTTAGGCAATAGTTACGAATCAAAATTGATCCCAGATTGCTTATAAAGATAAATATTGAGGTTTATCTAACATTTTGAAATCAATTGAGCTGAGGAAAAGTGGTTAATTCTTTATCATTTTTTCATCTTTTTGCATAAGATATATCAGTGATCCTATTTATGGAACAAATACTTTGAAAGTTGAGGTATTAGGAAATTTGAGGATGATATTTGAAAAACAAAACTAATTTAAACACTGTAATTGTTCCTAATAAAATTTCAATAATTATACTTGCATTAAAAATGCTGAAAATAAATAGAAACAAAAATCTGAAATGGATTTTTTTTTCTTTCCATCTTTTCCATAAAGCTTGCAACAACTTAAACAGTTTTCTCTTTAATCCCGAGTACAAGAATAATAAAGCCAAGAACTTAGTCAATATACATTACAATCAAGAAATTAGGGTAGCGAAATTTGTTAATTATTTATCTGAAGAATTATACCTACATAGAAAACATACATTCAAGAAAAGGGAGGAAAAAAAAGTAAATTAGTCTAGCAGAACTGCTTTGCTTATAGAATTTGCCATTAGTTTTCCTTGTTTGCCACTAGTAGCCCTGTTTCTCTCTATTATTACAGAATAGAGAATTTTATTATACTCTTTAGAAATAACTAAGAGAAATATCTAGGATTAGAGGATGCCTTTTAGGAACTATCTTCATAAAGCTCCTTTCTGCTCATTTGCCTTAAATATATGTTTCGTGATATTTCTGTTTCATTTTTAAATATTTCCCTTATTTCAAATAATCTATTTCTTTACAATTTCCCTCTATAATTATGCCTTACTATCTAAAATGCAAAACAGAGAATAATGGAATAAGAAGCTAGCAGTTTGGCATCGCTTGCTTATAGGATGTGTAAACAAAGGACAGACATGAATAGATACAATGTACATATTTTACATACATATAAATAATCAGATAACAAATTACAATCATATAACAAATAACTGATGGAGGATGAGCTTGTGTAAATTATTTTTGTTTTTTCTTTATTTACCTATTTTACAATTTCATAACAACTTAATCAGAAAAAGAAAGGAGTTGCAAAACTTACTGGATCACTATCCAGGTAAGATTTTATAGACTTACTAGATACAAATGAAAAAATCAATGGTGCAATTCAAAGGCCAGGGGAAAATCAAACTGTTAAGATCATGATCCTCCTTTTAACTTGTAAATATGAACTAATTCACCCTGCAGCAGCATTAGAATGTAAATGTAACAGGAGAGTTGCTCTTAATGAGTTTATTTTAATGATCCATCATGATGACTCATGGTTCCTCAGATGAAGTAAGCTAATATACTGTATTTGAGATATGTGGTTTAGAGTTGTAGTACAGACTTTTCCTTGTCATTTCCTTGGGAAAATTTCACAAAATCAGGTTTTTGTCCTTTCATTACTGTAATATTTAATGATTATTGTATAAAGCATTTATGCATTTCCATGCCAATGACTTCCTTGAGGCACTGAGAGCATAAACATAATCTTTGGTGCAAGCTTTTTCCTCTGTTCTGTCACTTGTAATATTGGTATGCTTTCCAATTATTTCTAACTCCAGTCTGCTGTAAGCATTAAACAAGTGCATAAGTAACGCTGACCTTTAAAATAATTTCTTTTATTTCTTAGGGCATGTTTGTTTCTTCTTAGCAAACAGCTATTAGAAATTTTTAAAAAAACAGAACTATTGGCTGGGGAAACAACCCACCCAATATTTCCATCTCACCACTCCCAATGGAATCGGCATGTATGTATATATAAATACAATAAAAAAAAGTTCTTTTGGAAGAGTATAAGCATATGGCAGCATTAGCATCAGGGCTTTCTATGCAAGTGCCTCTTGCACTCAAGTTAGTTTTATACGACACTTTTCTATTTCTTCCATTGGTTTTCACTGAAACTTCTGAGAGGGCAACTCTCTTTTTCTTTTGTGCTCACTCAGCTTCAGAACCTGAAAAATCTTTCCTATCAAAAGAGACATAGGTCTGTGAAAAGTGCTGGCAGCGAGAGGAAGAGTCCCACACTCATGCCACAGCCATGCCACAGTGGTGAGAGACACCAGGGAAAGAGACACCAAGCTCATAGTATTCTATGATAACTGGAGTGGGGGATGGAGGGAGAAGAGTGAATTTCTTTACCTTGACTTTAGTTAGACTTTTGACGTTCTCCAGTAACATCTTCATTGGCAAGCTGATGACGTGCAGGCTAGATAAGCTGTCTGTGAAGTGGAATGAAAACTGACTGAACGGCTGGGTTAAGCAGGCATGTGATCAGTGGCATGAAGTCCAGCTGGAGCCTAGTCACTAGAGGTGATACTGCTCAACTGGCCCCAGGGTCCAGTTCTGCTTAACATTTTCATTAATGCCTGGGATAATGGAACAGTACACACACTCAGCTTTGCAGATGATACAAAACAAGTTATATAAACTGGAGTAGCCAATACACAAGATGGTTGTGCTACCATTCAGAGGGACCTCAACAGGCCGGAGAAATGGGCACAGAAGAAACTCAATAGATGTGAATTCATGCACATGAGGAGGAATAATCCCAAGCACCAGTACATGCTGAGTGGCTGGAAAGCAGCTTGGCTGAGAAGGCCCTCGTTTTTTTGCTGGACAATAAGGTGAACATGAGTTGGCAATGTTCCCTCACAGCAAATAGTACCAGTAACCTGAGATGCATTGGGCAGAGAACTGCGTTCCCCTCTACTCAGAGCAGGGCTAGTGAGACTGCATCTGGAGTTCTGTGATCAGCTGTGGGTTCTCTCATATGAGAGACATAGAGCTATTGCAATGAGTCCACTAAAGGGCTACTAAGTTGATTATGGAACTGGAGGATTTCTCAAACGACAGAAAGGTAAGGAGAGCTGAGGGAGTTCAGGCTGAATCCATGAACCCTGGAGAAGGTTCATGGGGATCTTATCCATCCTCAAAAATATTGTATAGAAGGGTGTAAAGACAAAAGAGACAGGTAACCAGTGACAGGACAAGAGGCCACAAACTGAAACATAGAAAATTTCATCTCAATATAAGAAAGCACTTTTTTACTGTTAGGGTGGTTGAACAAAGGAAGAGGTTGCTGAGACAGGTAGTAGAGTCTCCATCCTTGCAGAAGCTCGAAACTTATCTGGACATGACCTTGGGTAATGTGTTCTGGTTGACCCAGTTTGAAGAGAAGATTGAACTATTTTAACTGACATTTTAACTGTTACACATAGAAATGCGAGAAAAATCACATATAGGCTACACACGTAGATGTGTGAATCTGACTCATTCAACCATCTTATTATTATTATTAAGTAATAATAATTAATTTCCCAATTTTCCTTTCGCAATTGCAAATCTCTCCAATCAGGGGAACATCATTTCCCAGGTGCTGTTGCAAAGCTGGGTAGGGTTTGCAAGGCGGTGCTGGGCACACAGCAGGGTCAGCACGAGTTCGTGCTGACACTCACTTAAGGACTTTGCCGATGCTAACACGTATCTTCACCATTGACCCATTTCCCCTGTTGCAGCAGGTCATCTCTTTCTACCCTAGGTTTTAGGGCACTTGGCCTGGTTGGCAAGACAGCAGCTCTGCTAGTTTGCTACCTCCGCCTCTTGGAGCAGAGGAAGGAATACTGAGCTGCACAGGGGGATCTGCTGGCCCCACGATGGCAACTGTGAGATGAAGGGAAGAGATTAGTTACACTCTCAAAGTAAAGGACTTCACAGGCTATGTATTTGGACCAAGTACTAACTAAACTTGCTCTCCTGATAGTAAGTTTATTTGCTAGTGAGTTAGTCCATTGAGAGACTTTGAAGTTGGTGTTTGGATAAAAGCTTGAGAAAAGAAACTTGCCTACAGTTTCTTTTCCTCAAGGAAAAAATAACAGTGCCAACTGGGTCACAAAATTTAAAGTATCAGGAAGGCCTTGTTTTGATCACATAAAAAGAGGCTGAAGCTTTAAGAGGTAACTATTTGGTAAATCCCTGAATCCTAGGAAGGCTAAAAGAAGAGCTGAAAGAGTCGAGCTGAAAGCTCAGGAAGCTTTTAGAGCTCCCAGAGAAAAGCTGGAGATGGAATGGGAGAGCTCTCTCATTTAGAGCAAGCTGTTTATTTTATGATTTCCTATTTTATTTATCTTTTTTTTTTTTGTGGATTTCTGGTACATCAATCTACAGTGATTTTCAAGCTAAATAAGATCTGTTTCAATATTCAAGGTTTTAATAGTGAAAATTTGAATCACAGTCACAGCACACAAAAAATCTTCATTCACCCATACATACATTGTGAGAAATTCTGGCAAGGACACACATTTAAATATCATTTCACCCTCTCTCATACAACCTTTACTACCTGACCCAGACAGTAAGTTTAAGCAACCTTGCTTTTCTGCTCTTCACATGAAAACAGCCACCTGCCAACTGCCATAGAACAAGTTTTGCTTAATGTTTCCCTAAAAGTTGTCTCAAAGCTCTCTGTTTGTATATTTTTTTCAAAAGAGGCAGAAAAACATTTTTAAACTTGATTTCTGCACTCTCAACTTACCGCCTCTATCTAAAGTATTCTAATCGTCTATGAAGTTGTAGGTACTAAGAACTTAATCCCTTTCTTTTTTTATTAAATAAATCTGGTTTTGGTTAATGCTTTAATTTATAAAGTTACAAAGTTCTTTTTTAATGCAGATGTACATTCTGCTACTTAGGGTTATAGGATTAGAAAGAAAAAATGTTTTACAGAAAAAAAACCATAATTACTAATATGTGCTCCTATCTCCTTCTTCATTTTGCTGGGTACATTTTTACTGTGGACCTTAAGGAGCTGTGAAAGAAAGGGGTATCAATGTCCCTGTTTTGGAGAGACTGAAGGTCATGCAGCGACAGCAACTGTATCTGCTTGCAAAATTTCCTCTTTGGTCTGACCATTAACTTGTGTGTGCCACACCACAAACTTGTGTGGCAACACTCCTCCTGATGCAGCCAGGATCCCATTGGCCTTCTTGGCCACGAGGGCACTGCTGCCTCATGGCTAACCTGGTGTCAACCAGGACTCCCAGGTCCCTCTCCATGGAGCTGCTTTCCAGCAGGTCAACCCCTAATCTGTACTGGTGCCTGGGGTTATTCCTGCCCAGGTCCAGCGCCTTGCACTTGTCCTTGTTGAACCTCATGAGATTCCTCTCTGCCCAACACTCCAGCCTGTGTAGGTCCCTATCTAGGTCCACTCCACTTAGTTTGAAAACATCCACAAACTTGTTCAGGGTACACGCAGTGCCTTCATCCAAGTCACTGATGAACAAGTTGAACAGCACTGGGCCTAGTACTGACACCTGGGGAAGCCATTGGCCCCAGGCCTCCAACTAGACTGAATATATCAATGTCTGATGTTCATTCAGGGATGTGAGAACTCATGTAAACCTTGAGTACATTTACTGAAATTAATTTTTCTGTCTTCTTAACGAGAAAGGGTTTCATTTTAAAAGATACTGCTGCTGTATCAAGCCACCAGTTTAAAGGCCAATCTATAAAATCTGTATCTATATTAGATGGGCAAGAGTTCGGATATCTTCCATGAAAGACAGTAAATCTGGCAGTAAAGTGCCTTTTATTATTTCATGAAAAGAAAGAGAAGGGCACAAGCTGTAAGAGCGTATTACTCGTGTCTATAATAATACCAGTTTCTCACTCAGCTTCTCTCATGTAAGGAATTTATACTAATGAGAAATCTAAGCACCTCTAAAACAGATTTTAGATCTGAGATTAAGAGCTAGATAAGCCAAATCAAAAATACTGTGTTTCTATTTGACTAAGTAACTGATTTTTAGAAAACTGCATGCAATCAATTAATGCTATGTAATTATAATGCTGAACCAGTGCAATCTGAACTGACTGGAGATATGCTTCTGACAGCAATTTTCAATGAAAAACAGGAGAGCAAAAAGAGTCACAGCCTCAAAAATAAACAATTAAATAAAAATGCATGTTTAGAGCTCTCCTTTTCCCAAAAGACAGAAATACACAGTACATCCAGGAAAATAGAGAATATTTTAGAATAATTTAGCCCAATAACTGAAAATTCATCCTGCAGGCAAACAGAGATTCAACTGTAGATCCAACAAACTTAATGCCACTTATTAAAACTTTGAGGTCTAAATGGTTCATGCAGTTAATTACGGGTTTTGGATTCAATGGAATAAAATAAGTGGTTTAATTAATTTGCTTTCTCCAATACAAAAACTGTATTAAATTGTTACTTTCATGTATTTCTTCTACTTAGTGTAAGAACAATCAGTCATAACAGAAAGGTTTACATGTGACAAAGTTGAAGGGCCTGGGTTTTATTCAGTAAGGAATGGCAATCTGAATAATTGTAATCATCAGGGAACTAGAGGACTTAGGAACCAATAAAACAATTTGCAACCTGCTTCACACTTTCATTCACATTGGTACCTTGCTGCTCAATTTTTGTCTCAGTAATAATATTTCCCAAAACAAAAGCTGGATCTGCTTTTGCAACTGGTGTAAGGCCTTAAAAGGTGAATCTCCTTTTGCCTCAAAGAGAAGAGAAGCGTGCAAAGCAGAACTCTCTTCTCTTCCCATCCTATCCCAGAGCAGCTGGAGGAAGGCAGATGTGCAAGTTTCTCCTCTCCACCTTTGCCACAGGCTTTATGCAGATGGATGCATTTGCTGGACAGGATTATATTTTGCTCCAAAAAGGATTATTTTGGATCTGACATGACTTTTGATTATTATTAACTCTAAAATCCAAAATAAAGCTGATGAAATTAAAAAAGAAACTTGCAGAATTCAAGTTGAAAAACATTATCAGCATGAGATGAACTCTTTTCCTTGAGAGTTCTTGGAAGTGTGAAATAGAGCAAACACTGTGGCTCTTTGTTGGTCTATTGTAAAAAGGAATTCTCTCAAAGATTGATGCTGACGGAAATTATTTTCCTATGGAGCAAATCTTCAGAAAATGTTATCAGAAAAATTATAGTTTACATCCACTCAGCCTGAAGAAACCAACTAAATGTGTAACTAAAGACAGAATAACAGAGTGCTTAGGTAAGTGTAAGTAGGAAGGGTCAAAATAATACAGGTTTTGCAAAGGAAGATATCATGACTTCCTAAACTTCTAAAAGGGTTTTGCAAATTTAATCATATGTTAGTGAAAGAAAAAAATAGGGAATATACAACATGTTAATAATGTATAAGAAGTTAATAACTTTTTGAAATGAGATTGGTAATAAATGGATGTTGGAAAAAAGCCTGAACACAAAAAACATATTTTGTTCTAGACATAAACAGTTATAGTTAATTAATACAGATAATTGATAATCATTTCCCTAACCATTTAGACATGGCATTCCATTAATTGTTAATGACTACAAATTAGTATAGCTAATGTTATATCTCAAAACTGTTACATGCAAGTCTAATGAGTTACAAGTGTGAAGCTTATGAAGTCCTGAGGTTGAATGTGTGCATTTTTGTGTTTTTTTTTTTTTTTTGTTTGCTTGTTTCAGCTGAAGAACTCTTCTTCAGTCAAATCTGATATGACTTTCTGAAGGACAATGCTGAGAGATCAAATCTGTTTTTTTTCTGGGAAGAAAATGAGTGGTATCTTTCTGTCTTAAATTGAGGACTCAGTGATATATGTAAAGGATAGCATTTGAAATGTGTAGCAGTTTCATTAGAAAATCTGCATTTGTTAAAGCATGAATTAACGGGATTCACTCTTTCCCTAACTGCTATAACAAGCAGCTTTTACTAGTTTTTGGATAATTGGAGATAATGTTTTCACTCTTGGTTATTACTTTTATTTTATTTTACACGTTCTGCTGATTTTGGAGGAAAAAAAATCACAAATCACCATTCTAACTAATTGAGGGACTAGGTTCACACAAAGAGTAATATGATAATATTGAGCGAGTGTTACAAACTGGAGAACAGGAAGAAGGTCTTCTGTTAGCCGAGGATCACACAATCAAGTACACGTTACAAAAATTGAGGGAAGATCTTATTGCTTCTATTCTATGATTTTTTCATGATTAAATTCAAGATTGGATCTGATACATCCCCTGATTTGCTAGTAACATTACTTCTTTACAGGTTAAAAACTGTTGTTGAAGAAAAAAGCTACTGCTGTGTTTCCTCTGCTGAAATGTCTACAAACATTAGTATTTTTCCGGGTGCAAGTGTTGCCATGGATTCCAGCTGTTCACATGCCTGAAGCTACTTGCTAAGATGGCCAAGGCTTAAAAGACAGCTCATTGCACAATTCATTGTATACATCTGTTTTCCACATTCAGAGGTCGAATTCCGAATTTGTAATGGTTAGCCACAAGAAATGATCTTGAAGGTTAAGAAATGATTACTTGATGTAGTAGGATATTTAAAAATATGAAAGTACAGTGTTTTATTTTTTCTCTTGGAAAAAAGTCTTATTCTCTCATTTCTTTTTAGGTTAGCATCTAGTTTCTCTCCAGAAAATTGCAGACCATGAGGTAGAACTACTACTTTTAAATTCTCTCACATGAGACATGAGTCATAAAACTCTTCTATATGTATATTAAGGTAAATCTAAAAAATAAAAGTCATAACTGTGCCTATTTTGTATCAAAACTAAGAGGTGCAAGGGAATAATAAGATGAACTAAATCTTAAGAGTTAAGAATTGGGTTTCTTGTGTCTATTAATACAACAAGAATCTAAAGGCTCCTGACCACTTGAAAATGACTTTGGGTACAAGTAATTAACAACAATAAAAACACGTTTCACACCTGTGATTAAGCTATGTTATCTTCTCCCGGGAAGAAGCTAAGCAGTAGCTTTAAATAGGAGAGGATTTATTTTTAGTGTGTGCACACTAATAGTGAAATCTAACTTTATACTTAAAGAAACCCTGAAGATTTTTTTTTTACTTTGTGGAAAGGTTACAGAGGAAAATAATAAAATCTAGTCTGTTAGTAAATGCAAGATTTTTCACTGTCATCAAAACAGGAGTTATGGTTTTCCTTATTTCAATTTTGGAAATGGTCTTTGAACATCTGAACTAAGCTGCTCATCAAACTGTTTTGATTTTATTTTATGATTTGCAGAAAGGAAGGACAGACTAATATTAAATCACATTAATTTTACTCTTAGCTATTAGTAATTGTAAGCATATTGCACTTGTGCCTCAATCATATCTCTTAGGAAACTGAGGTGATGAAAATGTTTATCCAGAAATTCTCCTGCCTCTTCTCCTATGAACATAATAATCTTTATCCAGAAAATGTTAGGGTAGAAAAATAAATTATTAAACACATTACATGACAATAAACTATTTCTGAGTAATTCAGCACCAAAGTCTGTTCTCAATAGTACATCCCAAATTGCCATTACTGTTTCCCCATTAATGTATTGAATTCATTTTTGGTCCAATGATTTTGCATTTTATCAACTGTATTACTAAAGAAAAGATAAATGACCTATTATACTACAAGTGAATAAATAGCTTCTTTTATTAACAAAATAGATTTCTTATCCTCTTTCCTCAGCTGTAATGACTCCTCCCTTCTGCCATTTCAAGTCATGGCTTACATTTGTTTAAGCAAGAAAAATGAAATTACCTTTCTTCCAAATTTAGCGTAACACATCTTTACTTTGAAATTCAATTTAGAACGAAGTTAACTAGAATAAATATAACCTCTCATTGCTTTCTTCATTTTGCCTGTTACTGTTTTATTGATATCAACTGACAGGAGCACTGAGCTGGGAGGGAAGCAAGGTAAACTCAGCTTAGCATTGTCTTTGTTTAGCAGAGACATCAAATCACACAGAAGAAGTAACAGCAATATAGCATTTTGATAGGCTGAGACCTCACTTGTAGTACAATATTCAGTAACCCTGAAATATATAATACGAAGTAACCTCAGGATGCACAAATTTCTGTGGGCAACAAAATATCAAATTCAATATCAAATAATGAGGCTTTGCATTTAAATTACACAAAAATCCAAGATACGTAGAACATACATTGGGGCAGGATATGGTCCTTTGAATGTTATTCTCAATGCTCGTACCAGCAGCAACCGTCATCTGAAAAAAGGGGGCAACAGAGAGTCTGCTGAATGGAACAGAAGTTTGCAATGTGCTACAGCATATTTAAATTACACCATGCTAAGAAGATGAACGCTCTTAATTACCATTCGAGCAAGCTGAAGTGTCTTGCTTAATTCACCTAAGACACAGCACTGCTGTGTGCAGTTAAAAAGCTGGAAGTTCACTCAGCTTCCTGGAGAATATGTTTTAGCATTAAAGGCCGTTTTGTTATCACTGCCATTTCTTTCTACAGAGCCCAACCTAGAACCTATTCTAGTTTAGCAAGACCATGGCTGGTAGACCATCTGGTCAGCTGACATTTCTTTAGATCTTAGTATTTACTTCAGAGGAAATTAAGAGTAGGAATTTTAAAAACATTTTAGGCCTAAGCCGTGCTTTTTCAACCCTCCAATTTAATCTGTCCTGTCTGCCAATTCATCAAACCAGTCCTATACTGAACCTCTAAATGATTTTTCCCATGCTGAAAGCATAAGGATCATGCTAATTATAGTTAAGCTTCATCATGTCTCAAAGTAGACATTGAACTAAGCTTTATTTTTGATCTATATACCACCCCATTTAGTAAAAATGGGGTTCAGAACCAACAAAAAGACAGTATCTTCTCATTCTAGTATTTCTATTAGTAGAATCAAATATTTGAAAAAAAATACAGCATATTGAAAGATGTGTTTTATAATGACTTTTCCATTGCTATTTATAGGCTTAACCTCATGACTTGTGCAATAACCAGCGTATGCACATTTTCAGTGTATTTAATAGCAGCCACAGGCATATATGCATCTTCATCTAGGCACTAATCATATATTGACAATATACTTCACACTGCAATTTGTAATAATTTTTACATATTGGAAAGAATTTTAACTTTCAGTGTTTTAGGGGACAATTAGGCCATGAACGGCAGTAAGGAGCAAATCTTGATTTTTAAGCAAAACTTTCCATATGCCCATTCTTGGAAGTTTTTAACTTAATGATGTCAAACTTCCCTTCTTTCAATTCACATTCTTAATTTCTTTAAAACATTTTAATGATGATTTTATATTGTTTTTATGGGTAATTTCATTTGATATAATGTAGCTACTTTTGAATGAACTTCTCGATGAAAAGCAGCTTCACAGTCAGTTCAATGGATCATGGCTAGGTAAAATTTTAATACCATTATTGCTGCAGAATTTTATAACAAAACCAGCCCACATTATGTCAGCATGACACCGTTTTAAATAAACAATATTTCAGCATAAGAAAATACACACATTATACACTTTCTCTATTCATGATATTGTTCTGAAACATCTCTCTGTTTAGTTCAAAACTTAATAAATTTTCAGTGTTTTCACACTCATACCTACTAGAGAAAGAATCACTGAAGCAAATGCAATTGGATTAAAATGTAAATTCTTTATGTATTTTTTTCACATTTTTTCATTTTTACAGTATTGCATGTATGATAATGCTTTCCAACAATTTTTGTTTGGTTTTTGCATGAAAAGCTGTTTTTTTACTGTATACTTTTGACTGCTGCATAGACCCTCTCTTTATTAATCTGGTGTCCATCCCTATTCTAATAGCATTAGTCTTATCTTTAAGCAAATTTTTCAAATTATTCTTTAACCCTTTTTTACCTCTCTTCCCTCTTGGACAAGTACTTTTTATAAACCAAAGGTCTGATGAAAAGTTTAAAATGAGCAGTGCTCAGTTCTAGCAAATGATAGATCTAAGGTGTTGCATTTTTGGACTCTTTGGGGCCAGTATAGGCAACTTAACCTGAGTGGAAATGAGAGATCCCTGATCTTTCAGTGTTTTCAAGGCATTTCCTTCTAGCCATGGTAATTTTATGGACTCACAGTAGCTAAAAAAACAGGTTTAATAGAGTAAATAACAATAATTATATCTGTATTGTTCTTTTAAATTGCTTGTTTTTGAAATATATGTGCCACATAATATTTATTATTGTGATATGAAGATTTTACAGGCAATCATTTGAGCTACACTGCATAACTCATTTATGGATTTTGTAATTAATGAAGCAATTCCCATCTCATGCATGTCGATTAGAATATGTATTCCTTTCAAGAATGAATTTAATATAATAGCATCTTTTTAGAATTTTGTCACCTTAGTAATTATAACCTATTATAATTAATATTCATGGTGCTTTCTATTATGGTTCTACTATTTCCTCTCTGGGATAAAAAAGGATTAGCAGTAAAGTTTATCAGAAGGGACAGCATGATCAGCTGGGAGAGGAAAGTCCAAAAATGAAGGTCTAGAACATGCAGGTATGGCTTGGGATGAGCTCTCCAGATAATACTTTGAACCACACACAGAGGAATAGATTCTCCTGCTGTATCCTAACTAATACCATGAAATGTTTCTATGTTCCTTCTTTTCTCTTTTCTTGATTTCACATAAGGGAAGCCTCATGTGAGGCTATGGTGCATCTGACACCATTCTCTGCAATGCAAAAGGGAAAAAAGCATCCTCTGCACAACAGCCCTCTAGGTAAACTGCCCCTTGCTGGAATTTCCAAGACTGCATCCAATTGTAACTAATACTAATGAACCCCACAGGCCTCAAAGAGGCCTAGACTTCCCAGGTCAGTGGGAATGGTGCCAGTAGATCTAATACTGCTAATTCAAGTAGCCTGAATAAAACAAAAATAAAGCGTAGTATTAGCTAATTCTGTAAACCTGTCAAAAATAGCTGAAAATTCAATAAGTCTATCATAGCCACAGTGTCTAATGTGAGTGTTCCCGAGATTACACCATGGAACAACAGTGCTTTTTCCTCTGATCAGGTATACCTGTTTACCATCCCTGATGTTATTTTTCATGGCACTTCCAATTGAGTTTGTTGTTCAGATAAGCTAAAACAAAACACAATCTAGGTTTTGATAGACTGAAGAAACCAATTGAGAGTCTTCCTCAATTCTTTGACCTTTTTATTAACTTAGGTATTGGATATTTGGGACCTACTTACTGGAATGCTACTCATAATCTTTTTGGAGATAAAAAGAGATCTTAGGTATCTTACTCTATTTTAAATTTTACTCACTCAAATGAAACTAGGCAAAATCTAAAAAGAGCTATTTATTCCACTCAAGCGTATGTGTCATTTCGGTGAAGCAGCTTACTCAGGCCATGCTTACAAAACCATCTGACCAGTCTCCAAGGCAAAATTCCCCAAAGGAGCAGATCCGTTACTAATTTTAGAGCTGTTCTGATAGAAGGGTATGTTCTTGTTTACATCACTGGAGGAAAACAAAAAGATCCCTTCCACAATACATAAGGGATAACAACTCAAGAAATTTGTTTCAGAGTGAAATTCACTACTAATTCTCACTGAAAGTCAGAAAATTCCGTAGAAAGATCCCTGCCACAATCCCAGACCACTCACACTAGGAAATTAGGTTCAGCTAAATGTAACTTGAAAGAATAAGAAAATAAGGACGATCCTATGTAGCATTTCATGCACCTAACATTACTACATTGCTACATCAGTTGGTAGCATCTTCACTTCAGCTCATGTTGAAAACAACTTAATTTACTTTTCCTGACAACAACATAGATAATACTAACTAGTATTATACTAACTAACCAACCAATTAATACTAACTTGTTCATTGTAACTCATCACTTTATGAATTTTTTTTTATTTCTATGCATTTGTGAATAGGAAAAAGTTGCACATAACCATGGAAGCATTCCTACACGCACACACATGTGCTGACTAACTAGAATCTCTAACTCTTTTTCTTTGAGTAATGGACTAGAAGCAATGCTACAAAGCAAATATTCTTCATTAAAACTGAAGATATTAATATAGTTAAAGCATATCATGGTGGCACGTTGCACCATAGATAAAGAAGACATCTGGGATGGTATGAATCTATTTATTCTACTAAGCTTAAAAAATCATCATGTGAATTCAGACACAAAACAGATTCTTGGATGCTATTCATACAGCTTGTTACTATAAGGATGCTATAATAATCTCAAAGGTAAATTAAAATTCACATTTACAAGCCGAACAGTTTTCTATAACAGTGATCCCACCGCTATGTGACCTGGTGTAACTTGGAGGCTTGAAGGAGAAAGCTGGACTAAATGACCTCCAGAAATCACTTCCAGCCTAGGTTATTCTTTGTTTCTTTAGTAGTAAATGGTATTTATAATTTTCCACATCAAAGCAGTACCTGATGTTTTTAATACACTGGACTGGGTATATATACAGAGAGAAGGACAGAGAATCCTTTATTAGAAGAAGGGGGAAATAAAGCAGGGTGGGAAGATACATCCCCTTACCCATTTATACCTATATAATTTAGATGACATTTTAATTATGAACATGGTTTTAAAGACACTTCTATGTTTGTCTGAGGCTTTAGGTGATTAAAATTATGTCTAGGTGAAAGACAAAGACTTACTGGCTGTCTAAATCTTCAACCTGCATCTGCTCAGACAGAGACAATGGCTACAGACCCAGTGAAGACCAAACTTGACAATAAATTTAATGCATTTGAATCTCTCCTGCTATTTTAAATGGTACATTTGGCTGTGTGAAGAACTTAATATTAATTTTGGAAAGTCATCCATCATGGGGCTTCTGCCTTAGTATACTAGGCATGTTTTAGTGAGAAGCCTCATATCTGTTGGATGTTGGACTCCTCATTGTAATCACAGATACCAAGCTTCAGTAATAGCTTATCCTTCATATTTAAAGAAGAGTTATTATAGCATTAATAGAAGAACTTCATGCTAATTTAAAGTCTCCTACATCTCTCTGGGATCTTCATACTGTTCTACCTCTTCAAGCCCTTGCCTGCTTTGTCATATTTGGGTTTTATACCATTTATGCTATGCTAGTTTATGAACTCATGGCGAATTCTCAATATACCAAACTATAAATGGAAAAACTTTAAATCCCAGTAAAAATAACATAAAACATATGAGGTAATGGGAAAAATCTCTCTCTTT